ATTTGAATGTAAAGGAAATATTATTAAAATTTTAATACACCAAAAATGAGTGGTACTGTAAATAATTTGAATGTAATAAAGATTTCTTTAACATCGATATGTTTATTGGGTGCTAAGTAACATTGGGCATCAGTGAAAATTTTAGAGGACCTCGTTACATCAAAGCGGGCCGGTCGGTTTCATTACTCGCTGAAATAAATCAAAATAATACGTAGCAAAGATGGCGCATGGAAAATCAGAACATCCCCGGTGCCTCGTGATTTATGCTAGTAATTTTCCGGACGTTTACGAAAGTAACCTGCAATTTTTCTTCTCACACACGTAATTAGATAATTTTCTTCTACTTGTTCTTTTACGTATCTAAACTTCATTAATATTAAAAGAGAAAATTTTTGTTTTTAGGATAAAAATGATGAGTTTGTCTTAGAGACTGGCGGGAGTTATATATGTACATTAATAATTGTATAGTTAGAAAAATATTCTCAAAATAGTACAAAAAGAGAGACAAACAAAAATAAAGCTGTGTAAAGCTCGGACGGAGAATCTGGTTCATTTTATTAACTTAAGGTTGGTATTAATTTCCGTCACAGACTTAATTGCTGTCTTCACGCTTAAGCTTTTAATAAATTCAGGGATAGTCGGCTTAGCTCTCGATGACTAAAAAAATACTCAAACAGGCACCGAGCAGCCAAAAAAGGACAGATTTTTAATTTATAAGAGACAGGACAAACGATTAATAATTTATTTGTATCCTCCGTTCGTTGCGCGAGAGGGTCGGAGCGTTAAAAACAACCGTTAAGACCGGCGACTTTGTATAGTCGCGCTTAGCCCGAAATGCCAATTGCGGGTAGACACAAGTATACAGCGAGTCGGAATGTCTCTTTAAAAAACGTCGCAAATAAATAAATCGCGTCGCACGCACCGGCCCCACCAAAAAAAACACACCTACCATATTCGATTCTTTAATGTGATTTTAAAAAAATAGAAGTAAACGGAGGCTGGTTTCGATTGAAAATGAATGAGGGCGAGCGCGATAGTGGAAATTAGCATTGAGCCGGAGCTGGGATTCAGAAGCGGCTTTTGTGAGATCATATCGAGGTGTATTCTTTGCGCTTTTTACGGCGACGAGACCGGCGCGTTAGCCATCCCTTGGTCCTATTACCTGACAACTTTTTGTTCCTAATAATTACAATCAACCCTAATCAGATATCGGTATTCGATAGCTGATACCGTCTTAAAAAAGACGTAGAATTACTATCAAATACTTACATTCAATATGACATCTGATAACCAAATCAAATTACATTAATAGAATGGTGTACTAACAATAGTAGTGTACATAGTTTAATATTAGACTGATAGATACCAAGCTATATACATGTATCGCTAGTGTTAAATTCTATAACATTATCTTATAACAAGGAGCGTAAATATGAAATGTTTGGAGTGCGATTTATAAATTAACTATTACGCATATCGAATAATAAAGGCAACAATGGGATTCAATGCAGATGAGCTGTGCCGGCGGAGGCTGCGAGCCGATCGACATTTGTATGCGATATCTAAACTCACAATTGGATGCCGGCGCGACTCTTCGCACTAATGGTACACTATCAAATGATCGCTCCAACGCTTGAAAAGTGGAGACCGCCTCGAAAGACCACACGGTAGTATACGAGCAATAAATAAACACAATGCACCCATGTGTTAAACAATTTAAACAATATACACTCACTAAATTGCCATTTATCTGTTATATATAAATATATCTTCATATCCTCTTCATGCATTATCAATAGATGTAATTACAGAAATTATATATGTATATATATAACGTCGTTGAGATATTTTTAAACAGCAATTTATCCATCAAACAGATCTCTTTTAATGAACCTTACGGTCGGTTCGCGCAACATTAAAAGGTCGAAGTAATTAAAATGTCCAAACAGCAATTTTATTGATGCGAGACCTTTAAAATTCGTGTTTATTAATTATACGTACCTTTACCGTAATCAACGGTTATGGTCTTGACACAGAAGAATGATTCATTTCTTAAAATTTTAAATCAGGCAGGTTGAAAAAATTTACTCAAAAGATCGAATTAGAAATCAGAATGCTGGTTATTATTTATTTTAACAACTCATTAGTTCTTATGACTTGTTACTACTACTTGAACAAGATATAATGAAGCTGTCCTGTATCTAACCCTCATCTGTTATAGTCCTTGTTATTTTTAATAGAGTAAAATCTTTAAAGATTTCTATGTATATAATGAGGAGCGTTTTATATGTACGTCTTGTAATTAGTCGTAATGAGTCTGATCTTAATATTTGTATGCCGATCGAGTGCTCATAAAACTTGAATGAGGTAGCGGATTGCGACTCAGCCACTGTCATCGAACTTGTGTATATTATGACGTATTGTGAACGTCGACTTAATGGCGATGGTTCAAGTCGCTTTTTATTTTATTTATATATCTATATAGAGCCATACGTTTAGACGGTCCACTTTTGACGCTTTGAATTCGTTTTGCATTAATTCTTTTGTTGATATATTTTTAAATAGTTAGTTGCCTTTTCTATTAGAGACTTCGACTATAATTTTGTCAAAAATAGAATGAGCGATCAATCAATAAATTCAAAGTCGTATAAAGATTATTATATATTGTATTTTGAATGCTATCCGCCAAAAATAAGATACAAAAATATAACAAAAGGCGGTTTTATCGTCTGGTGATTTCTACAAGATAAAAATATATATGTTATCTCTGTAACATTTTAAGTATTTGCGTAGTAAGTGATGGTATAGTTTAGGGAAACATAAACACAAGTAAACAATCACTCGGTGAATAATATTAAACATTGTAATAAATTATGTCGTTTTTTGTTATACATAAATAATACATATATAGTATAATAGGTAGATTAGGAGTACTTTGGCATTTATACATAATTATAAAAGGTAATTGCCTCGGTTGAACATTTTCCTATCAAGAGCCTTATTGGTGGTTTATATTTCGATTCATATAATTAACTTCATTAAACTTTACTTTTATGTAATGCCATAAAAACTACAGCGATCAGTTTTAATGTCATGAAAACTGTAAATATTACCGGTCCACATGTGAACCATCTCATTACCAGGTCTCAATGACATCTCATCGATGTCACTGATACAAAGGCTACTCCACGGCCAAACTGATGCCAATTGATTTTGGCATTTTATTGGCCATGTCAATACAGCTTCGATTGATGCCTTGATTGAAATGCTTTGTTTATTAACTAGAATACACGAAAGAAATTATTTAAAAACCTGTTAAATCTGTAAACAGATAGCTTTCCAATTATTTCTAATTTTTACTGTTAAAATTATGATTTATTGAAATTTATTGAATGTAAATTAATTTGGTTATTTACACCGGAAAAGTTAATAGTTATAGAGGCAAACGTCCATTGAGTCATTTATCCTAACTATGGGTGCAATGATTAATATCCCGGATATTTTGCTTATGAGGGTTCCAACATTTCTGATTTCCGATCATATTTTATCAGTGATTTAATTAAAAGTTTCAATATCTGGAAATTTATAGAAAAGGTTCCTACTAAAAACACTTTTGTTAAGAGTATGTTGTTATAGTTATTTTGATGCTAGCAATGAAGACGTCCTGAATGCTTTATAATCTTGTTATGTTAACTAACTTTCGAAACAAAGAGTTTTATATAGTTAAAGAGCTTAAAACAATTCTGTATTGGACAAAACAGTTTTTCGTATAACAATGAAAGGAGATCAACCCAGAGGAACGTAGTGTTTTTTCGATCGATGTTTTGGAAAACAGGGAATATTTATCACCTAAAGCTGGGTGACAATGTAACCTTAAAAGTATCTACAGTAAAGATATTACCGGTTAGCGAGTAATGCCAACGATTGCGTAGCGGTGCGGTTTGCTCGACAAGTAGTAAGTGATAAATAAAGCGTAATTGAGAGACGGAAACAGCCAATGAGTAAATCTCGTCCGTCAATTTATTTAAATTATTTATTAGTGCCCGGCTATAGACACCCAGAGACGCGATCGTTTACAGTACGCGTTCACAGAGTGCGCTCCGGACGTAAAGAGGGCTTGACTTGGTATTATCGATGACAATAACTTTGACGCATACATTACACTGATTAAAAGTTTCGATAAAAACTTTGTATGAAACTTGCAAATAGTTAGATAGTGATAGATTATAAAAAAATAAACATTATCATAGGTATACATATAGATTTCTTTATATTAATTATAATAAGTACTTTAAAATTGAGAATCTTTTAAGAATTAGGCACAAATCGAAAGTCTAGATACATTAGATATGCTAATAAGAATATTTTATAGATGAAAACTATTGAGATTATTATCGATAAATATATAAAAAAAGCATCCCTTTACTAGTGACGATTCAAATTAGTTAATTTGTGCAGATACGATACAATGGATGAGGAAATAATACACTCGTATGTACCAGGAGATTGTAATTGCCATAATTGGACAAATCTGGACGCACTTAATAAGTTGCCATTGTCGTGATTCAAATGGCAATTCATCGTTTGTGTAAGACGTGAATCATTAACTACCAAGGTTAACGTATTAATTTCAAACAACTACTTTTTAGGATGTTATAAATTTGCTTAATTTCCAATGTACTAGAATTTGTAAGCTAGTCTTTTTAATTAAGTTGGTTAGGATTGTAAAGTGGAAATTTCTATCATAATGAGATCTAAGACTTTCGAGAGTTTTATTTATCATCTCTTAGATGATAAATAAAACTAACTGACAGACATTCACATCTCATCTGCCCGTGATCACGGTTGCTGGAAAGTCGCCGAAATATCGGGAGTATGTAGTTTTTTTACAAAAATAAACCGTGTAGTATACCCGAAAATTTTAGTTTCATTTAAATGAATTTCTATCATAGTTGCTACTAAAATATGAAGAGGAATATTAAGAGGATGTATGTACTCACCCATTTATATCGGTTATAGTCCAAAAATGTTTAAGAACAGCCTTGGCGAGCATGTACCAGATTTGAGTCCACACCCAGGACGATTTGTCAATGGAAGACGATAGGAACTGTTTCGTTTCTTCATCAGGATGTAATTGAATGAACTTCTTTTGAAGATCTTCGCTTAGGAGGCTTTTGTCGACACGGTACCACTACAACAACGAAAAAAAGAGAACATCAATATTCAATTTGTTATTCATTAAAAATTGTCACAATTAACACAATTAAGACAAATTAATGTATTTTTGCTCTAAAAAAAAAGAAGATACGTTATATAATAGAAATTATATATGTAGATGTTAAAAAACCTAACAACAAAGAGAAAGATTTTAAAAACGATCGTTAATACAGCAGCAGAGATATTCTTAATGGTAGATCTCGGGTGCGTAATCATAAATTGATGCTTAACAACTCCGGATCAAATTTTAATGAAAGTATATAAAAAGAGTAATGTAGTGCAAATACGAGTGGGCATCAGAGGCTCGTCACCCGTTGTGTGTTTAAGTCAGCCGACGCGGACCTACAAAAGACCGTGCGCCGGCTGTTAATTTCACGCTGCCTCAAATTAACATTTCTTTACGCCACAGAATAATAACAAATTAAAAAAAAAACTTCTCGCTTCTACATGTAGCTGTAATGACGTCGGCTGACGGACGCGAACTCATCAGACCGACTTAATTAATGCTCGATCTGTCTTTATATTAAAATCGAATACGGCTGCTGTAAAAAATTATAAGTTGTACACTTTAATGATGAGGGATTACTATTCTTGTACTTGCTAATAAACTTTAAATATAATTATATCTATATAATACAGAAGCAACGAATAAATTATGTCATGAATATTAATTGAGTGTCAATTATTTAAAATCATTCGACGTACTATGTTTTATAGAATATATACGACCGCTATAATCACATACAAATTGTTTAAACAATATTTTGATTCATCTTTACAGCATCCTAATCATTAAACGCGTATTATAATTTTAGATTATTCTCCTTGTTGACCAAAACGTCAGAAAGATAAATCAATGTTTTTATCACAAATTTGAAATTCTGACCCGTGAGCGTTGTCTTGTGAACAAATACATTAACGAATACTAACGGCTCCACGGTTAGAGGCACAGACACCTATGAGATATCTTGGATCATTCGATAAACGATAAATAAAATATGCAATGATATTTGCTATCCAAAAACATGTCTGTTCACAGTTAGATTCGCGAATATGGGACGATAAAAAATATATTTTCCTTAACAGTTACAACATATTAATGCTTCATATCTAATAGATGTTTTAAAAGTCGAGACAAATAAATATTTATTAAGGAATAGTGATGCCGTATCACGTTGGCGATTATGCAATGCGCTGTCTTTACATTTAAAATAAACCTGCATCGGAACTACGGGTTCCGATGAGGCGAATTCTCCAGACGGAATACAAATCGTGGAAAATTTTGAATGCCGTAGTCATTGATAATAATATTCTGATCTGAGATCTGTAAACAGTGTTCTAATTTTGTTATTTCTACTTTTTATGTAACTGGATTTCGTAAACCTGGACACTATTATGTATGACCTAGCTTACTCATCTACGCCACATTATATATATGTATATATATACTATTCGTTTAGATAATAATTGTTACCACTAAATTTGTGTATAACGTCAATTAAAACGTCGCTTGTACGTCATTCATTAATTGTTTTTGCTTGTTGACGTTAATAAAAACGTCCTATACGTAGAATAATAATCAATTAGATATATAATAGCCGCTTGATATAATTAATAATACATCTGTAATAAATATTTGAACCAGATCAAACACGTGCTGAAAAATGTAGACGATAACTGTACCTAAAATGACTTCCGCGTCGTTGTTTTCCTTCAATATGTAGTCTTACAGGCGCCCAGCTCGATTATTTATGAGACCCATGTTTAGAATTCAATTTCTGCTCGTGTAAAGCTAGGTTTTCATGAATAAAAATATATGTATTTTAAAAATCTACCTGTTAAGGAAGACAAATCGAGAATGATTTATTCAATTCGACGAGCTATCGAGGCCGATCGACTCTTGTTTATTTTAAGGTGTTTATGTGGGTTACCGATTTTTACAAGCTGGTCATCGGGTCAATTGGTAAAAGGATGTGTTATGTTTAGTGCTCATAAGATTAGTGATGTTGTCATATTGATTTGAATGCGATCATAATCACGTGACTCGTTAGCGCTCAGGTCGGCGGAGGTGCATCGATAGAACGAATGGAGGCATTCAGATCCTTTATCCGTAGGTCGTTAACCTCTCCGCTAATGAATCAAAGACCTGTGACTATATTGTCAATACGGAGCGAAATATTAACTCTGAATGCGTTCAACCTGCACAATGCCAGATTAATTCCCATTTAAGTGTGTGAAATAAATGGTGACGAGCGGCAATTCACAAGCGATGCGGTCGACGTATTGCGAATTGCGACTTCCAAGCTCTAATGTCCCATGAATAGCGTTGCAGCACTATTAGCCACTAATGACTCTTTCTCAATACTTCTTTATTTTACTTAACGTAAATAAATCAGCACGGTGGATGCTCGTAATGCTTTTTTCAAAAGGATTTGTTCGATTTATTTTACCTTATGCGAATGAATCGTATTAACACTTTTTAGAATTCTTAAATAACAATTTATTGTTGCAGTATTTCTTCGTTTAGATGAAGAATCTTTATGTTTGTTACACTTACGAATGTGCCGCGTTACTTTTCCTTAACTTTGTTTAACGTGGTCGTAAACGTTAGACTATTTAGACATATATTTAGGTTATAAAACATAGCATGTTACGGCTAAGTGGCGCATAGGATCTCCGTGGATTTGCCGGTAAGCGCCTCGAGAGCTTGTTTGCCGGGCGCTCCATTAAAATGGGATCAGCCGTGATGCAGATCGCCCGGACGCTGAGACGCATGAGCTACATTATAAGCAACCTTACTACATTTTTAGCCTGTTCAAGCATGTAATGAACAGAGCGACACATAATTCACAAAGTAAATAATAAAAATCTTCATAACATCTAATACATATCAATTTGTATACATAAATTCCAGAGATCTACAGCGTAGATGTTACTGGCGTATAAATAGGCAATCGTAATAGCCTTGAGGAAATGTATACGTTTGCTAGTCTCAATTAAAGATTAAAATGACTTACGATCGTAAAACAATTGAGTTCGATTAACACTAGACATAGCTACCAGGAGATAAAACATTTAAACAGAATGCCATGGATTCAAAACGATTTATATGCCTGCGTTGTCGTAGGAATTGACAAAGAGTAACAAAAAAAATAAATAATGGTGAATTTTATTCGGACTATCCATTTTGTATCTAAATGATATTTAAACGTTAAAGGTCATTCAGAAACGTTTGTTAATTATCTGTAATTTAAGGTGAAATATCTGGAATGTACTCAACTAAAATTAATGTCAAATGACGAAAAGTATTGTTCAATGGATCGGTAAATTAGAAGTCTCTTTTTTTAAATTTCATTGTTTATCCTCAGGACTGTTAAATATGCTAATAAAACGGGTGGAACTTGAATAAGAGCTATGCTCTATGGCATCACGAGCAGCCGGAGGGCCACTGTTGCGTAATTGTTTTCAGCTCGTCTTTTAATTGTTCTATCGAGGGATGGGATTTATGGGCCCACGTGACCTCCAGCCACGATGCCGCTCGCATTCATTTTCACCATTATTTCCGCACGAACCATGGGAATGTATCCCAACAATAGCAATTTTAATCAACGAACGTCGAACTCTCTTGCCAAATAGAATTAACATTTAACATAATTGAACCCATTGTTTCTGATATAACTCCTTGCGGTAAATTGCATTTTGTAACTTGTGTTTAGAAATTTATAATCGGTATTAGATTCAGATCGGAACATGTTTTTGAGTACGGATTAATGATGTTACGATATTTAAGTTAGCTTTCAAGTATTGCCTCATCTTAAACATTATTTATCCAGCTAGCTCGGTCTTACTCATCCCCTGTTAATATTGTTTGGTGGTACCAATAAAGCAGTATAGGAGTGTCGCATATATACTATGAGATTCATTGAGATTTGAGGCGTGGGCACGCGTTCGAGAGATTTACGAGTGTATTTAAACTGGTTTTACATTAAGCTCCAACTGAGGCGATTTGATCGTAAAATCAGCCGTTATGTCTCGAGACAATATCGTAGCTGCTTACCACCCAAGCAGTCGAATGTTAAATTAACTCCAGGTTAACTATAGGTCAGGTATATGGTCCGATTGATTTCGCTTTTTATAAACATGATTTATATCTTTCTGTTTTATCGCAATATAACACACAGTTACCGATCTTACTGATGCACCCGTGGCATTGAGCGGATTAGTTTGAAAATTAGTTACTGATTACATTTTTTAATATATTGAGAGCTTCTTTATAAGAATTCCAATACTTCCACATTACTAGATTACTATGAAAGATGAAAAAAATAATAAGTAGGAAAAGGCTATAACACACCAATTCACGCAGGATAAACAAAATGTAAATACAGTATCTAAATAAATAACTTAAAACCGTTAATTAGGTAAAAGTAATTTAAATTAAAAAGTTAAAGATGGTCTGTTATTGTTATAATAATTACACTTTTCGTAAATTGAGAGAAAAACACAACTATATAGCAACAGCCACTTCGTTCTAGACTTGTAACCGATTTTTTACTTATATAACGATCTTTACTATTTAAAATAAACCCTAATTCTTTTATAACATGGAAGTAGACGATATCTAAGTAATAAAGTCGTTTAAATGTAGAACCTAGCTGAAGCTAAATGTCTACAGCTAGCAAATGGGTCGAACTATATTACAACCTTCTACAGAGTTTACAAGTGTCTCTATCAAAATAAAAATGTGTTATCGTATATTTTATACATCAAATATTAAAGAACTTATATATACTTAAGGGCCTCTAATGCATTAAGATGTTATATGTATATTGAAAAATGTAATTCCAATAATATAACTAGAAAGAAAATCATTTACTACAATGTAAGCAATTAAACGACTCACACAAACTGATCTGACGAACGGGCCATTGTCAGTCGAAATTAACTAAAGTGACAAAAAGCGAATGATTTCCAAGTCACCTCTTGCATTAAAATAACAAATAAATGAGAGTTTTTTTTTAAGCTGCAAGACAAAGGCTATTGAACCTATTTAAGATTGAATGGAAATTTACAGATAATTTCTATATCCTGAACAACAAAACAAAGGTGTAACTATAGAAAAAAGAGACAAATTACATTGGTCTAATAATAATTGAAAATATAATTCTCAATAACACTGAAATTATATTGAATATTGTAATTTCAATGTAAATATTTAAAATGGATGGAGCAAATATGAAAAAATAATATCATTGAGATCAAAATATTTCATTGTAAGGAAACAATCGGTTGGCAGTTGATTGAATTGATTTTAAGAGAAATGCTGAGGGGCGTCCGGTGTTATTTTTATAGCCTGTACGCGTTCAGAACCGCGCTGGCGACACATTCCCGACGAGACTTAGTTTTTGCATCGACTTTCATTAGACATTGAGTTGAAAACTGCTTCCATTGAACAAAACATGTTTAAGATCTTAAGGAGATATCATAAGAAACTTAAGATTAAAGTATTGATAACTACTTTTTTTAAATAAAAAAACTCTTCTTAATATTCGTTTCAATTTTTAAAGAACAATATTGGGTATTATATAAATTGATATATGTATACATATGCCTCTTGCTCTTTATTATGTACTAAAACTGTTACGGTATATGGTTAATATAATATTTAAAGAACTGACCAAACGACTGAAACCCTCTTTTTTTGTAATCTGGACAGCTAAAAGCTAAAAACCTTCTTATTTTTAAACATACCTTCAAGCATATCAACTAAGAAACTGCAGACTGGTTTCGTTTTTCAACCAAGATTTATATTCTGGGACTCTTAGGAAATAAAATAATCACGGCGGTGTTGATTTGCATACAATGGTAAAATAATTTTACGCGCGTTTCGCCGCGCTTAATTTTACTTTTTATTCGACTTTTCGCGTCCTATCTATGAATCAAGACGGCTGGACCAGGAGAGTTTAAGTGTCAACAGTTTTAAGTGAATTGAATACATTTATAAAACCTCGGTAATTGTATTATTTAAAAGAGATGGAGCTCCTTGCGAGTAAAGTTGAAAGATATTTAAGTGAACTTGACTTTGCCAGTATAAAATGGTCCGTGTTAGCAAATACCGTGTTGGAGTAGACTGCGTGGCGAGGTCGCCGGGTTCACGGGCAACAGCAGTCTCTCCGGCGCCACCTACGTACACATGCATGAGCCGCTTGCAATTGTATTTAATATATTTAGCGTCATAATCGCATGGATTAAAAAAATACCTATATATCCTCTGATAATAATTTACATTCCGTGCAAGGAACTTTCATCGTATATTCAGCACAAAAGTGCGACCGAAGGCCAAGAAGCAACAAAGGGCCTGACTTTTCCCGCAAAAAGATGATCCTTAATCTGATTAAATCTCCATCGCGGAGGACGTCGAGCCGTGAAAGATTAATGAATATTTGTGCGAGGATTCCCCGAGCTGGGTTGGCACGTAGCGTTGTCATAATCATATTAGCTACGTCCGGAGGTCATGCTGGCACGCACTCACGCACGCATAGACCAACAGGCAACAACCCTGAACAGTATCACCATAGGGTTGTCACTCTCACTCGATAGATACCCATGATAGATACGACTTATACAGTGACAACTCGCTTCCATTCATTTACTACACGATAGCCTTTACATAAACTAATAGTTTTACTTATACTTTCCTCTAATATTTATATTTTGCATTCTTTATATATAATACAAGATAATCTTTTATTTATGATCTAATTTATTTTTCGTCAACGTCTCACAATGAGTTAGTAAAGCTAATAATAATAAATAACCGACCATTGTATTAGTAAGTTGATAATTCACGTGTTCACGAAAAAGGGTATCGCAATCAACATATCGCATATTGAGAGAATAATAAACACACTCGTAAAAATATCAATTGAAATTAAACGTGAGAATGTATTGTTTCATACAAGCGTGCACAAAACAAAAAAATTGAAAAATCACGTTAACCAGGCTCTCAGTTCGTTTTCAAGCTTTAAACAAAATGCGGTTCAAATAATATTAAGAGTTTACGATTTTATATTGAAAATGATCCTTTTAATGTTGCAGGATTACTTCATTTAACTTGGCATTTTTTTAATGATTTATTGTTTTACAAGATTAAACTTTTATACGACTATTGAAGAGCTTTCTTGTTATTTTAGTGTTGTATTCGTAAAAGAATTTTAAACAGGCCATTAACATAAGCCTATATATAGTTGGGGCGATATTTTTTTCTGCTATAAATTAAAAACTTAAAAATTAATTAAATAATTTAAATTAACCTCAAAAAGTATTAACACTGGTGCCTGAGCAGCATTAATTAAAAATAATGACCACAATAAAACCTTGACTTTTGATTAACTTATGCAGCCAGACCACGTAGTTTTTATCCAGGTTGCTTCGGACGAAGGTAATTAATTATTTGACATTGTTTGTGTCGGCAATAAAGGCTGCATCAATGATTCATGTTGCCGAGCGTGCACCGGGAACATTAACCACTGTGAACCATCATAAATGAACAAACATCATCTGATCTTATAAAAAATTCATACTCATCACAAAATTTCGCTGCCCCTCTTAATTTCGTGAGCTTCTTCTAGGTTCGTGTAAAAACTTCGGGTGTCTTTTTATGACTTTTACTGCGGTATAATTGGGAGGGGCGAGAGTCGGCGTCCCCGAGGTAACATAAATACACCCCCTGCACTCCAGCCTTTCAACTACTCCGGCTTAATCTCATGTAAGACTATAAGGTATGAAATATTTTGGCACTGAACCTTAATTTTACTAAGAATCAACTTGGCAGGGTTTCATGCACAGAGAGTTAAAATAATTCGAAACAACAATACATTTTTACAAAATTTTTGTATGGTAACCTGGTTTTGTGGAGACAGTGACAAGTGAAAATCTTGCAAACAATATGAAGTAACTATGGGAGATATAATTTTAATGTGACTTGAATTTTAAAATCACTTTTGTAATAAGGAATCCACAATATACAGTAAGGCTGTAAGGTACGTCCTTGCCAATAACAAAGAAGCCATAGCTTCAAAAGACAGACGCCAAATGCGATTTCAATTTTAAAGGCAGTAGTGATGCACGGGGCGCGGTGTTCGGCGTCGAGTGCATGTATTTATTTGCAAATTCCGAATAGCTTTCAACATGTAGGTGCCACTGACTCCCACCCGTCGATCTTTTCCAATATCCTATCCGGGGACGACACGGGAGCGCCTCGGTAATACGACGTGGCGATTGAATATTACGTACCAACATACGGATGATAGATGAGCATAAAACATATCCGTAATTGAGATTTCTACTAAAATTGATAGCGTCCGTTGTTTTTCCGTTGTTTGTCTATATAATATGAGTGCGAGCGGCGACGCGCTATCGCGTTTCGGAAGCGCCAGCGGACATCAATTTGTATATTGTCATTATTGGAGTCGGTACGGAAAGTTTGGTTACGTCCATCCATCATAGTGTGACGGGTACCGCGGCGAGTCGATATCACGCCTAATATGTATTGATTTCCCACTTAGCGTTTTTCTTGTAAGCCGTCCGAGTCGCTCCACCCTTCTATACGTACGACTAACGAGCTGTTTGTGTTCCACTCGCGATGAGCTTCGACACTACGCCTTGACTAATACGCTTAACAAGATGCGACCGATCGAAAGATGACAGAAATGTTAACTTCTAATAAGTTTCTTATTAAATTAAACAATTCATATATCTTTATAAGTCTTAGCGATAATAAGTACTGTATATGTACTAATTTTCTTATAAATGAACATGTTTGTCCTTTTCACAGAAATGCTATTAAAATGAAGTTGACATTAACATGCTAAAAGAATTAGAGAAAATAAATATGAATACTCTATTTGTTTTTAGGCAAGTGCTTTTACAGACTTTTTAAATACTCGTTACTTTTTTTATCAAAAATATTTAACTATGACTATGTATTATAATATTATAGGTTGTAATTATATAATCTTTCAACTTACTCATTGCTAACATTCTAAGACCGGTAGGCAACGTGTAAGAAAAATACAAAATCTTGATTTTCTTTATATGACATAATCTGAATATCTTTAGGTGGAGTAATAAGTTCTTAGATAGTAAACATTTATGTAAATGTTGAAGAAAAAGATTGCGTCACCAAGGTCCCCCGTGGGGGTGGAAGCGAGAACAATGGTTTCGGTTCTCACACGTGTGGAGGATTATTTGCATTCGGAAATAAAGAGAGGAATGATAAAAGAAAGGCGCGAGAGGTCCCACCGCCCCGGGGCAGGGTGGCTAGGGTAGCGGGGTGCCTGGGAGGAGGAGAGAGGGGGGGAGGTCGGGAGGAGGAGGGGGGCGAAGAGCTCGTTACGCGAACAATGGAGAAATAATGTACAGATTGCAGTGAGCGATGCGCCCAGCGAGACTCAGGTGTCTTAGTTGTGTGCGGACATCACGCCTCCTGTATCGATGTATGCTTTATGTACCCGAGTTTGCTATATGTCGAACATATTCAATTTTCGGTAGCAGAAATACAATATTGTGAAGGAAATTGTGACTTACATAACCTCAGCATAGACTAAACACTTTTAGAAAAATTGTTATGAGCGTCATCGAACGTAGCCAGGGCTCTATATTGTAACGCAAATGTATATTTTATGACATAATATGCGAAACCCGCGACTTCGGCCGCATTGCTTAACATGATAACCAAGTCATTTGCATGAGCAAGAAAACATACATACATACATACCTCACACATCACGTGACATAAAAATAAATTTCTTAAAACTTTGATAATTCTATATTAAATAAAGATGCTATTATATTTCGTGTATTAGAGACAAATATATATGAAACAAAAATTTAATTGAATTCCATCCAGAAGTTTGAAGTGATCCTCGTACATCTACAGACCACTATCGTTATATGTGGATGGATTACACAAATTGTATTCCCTCAGGCATATGTAATAATTCAATATTCATATATTTTAAAGCTATTTCAGCGTTATTATGCTTCTTTCTTTAAAGCAGATATTGCTTTATATTTGATATATAAAATGAGATTATAGAAAACTTATTACGAACTACATACAAACGTTGAAAATGTTAAAATTTTTAAAGATGTATGTATTAATGTCTCCTATTGCTTTATCAATTTCTTTTTCGCGGGTAGACGTTGAAATAGATAGACATACATTTTGAAGCTCTTCTTTTATTATATTTTATAATTACAAAAGTACTTATGTTTTAAAACTTATATTACCTTTGTATAAGTGGGCTATCACTACACTCACACACAAGTTTTCAACACTAAAAAATGGACACTCCTGTTGAACAGCTGGTCAAAGGTATGGAGGAACTTTCTTCAATGTTTAGCCAGAGGATGGGTGAGTTTGAAAAGAACTTAATGCCAGCCACCGCCTCTGCTCCTACAAACCCAACAATCAAGTCCTTGTCTGCCGAGTTCTATGCATTTAAGTCCCTTGTATGGAAATCGCTGGGACTACTGAAAGCCCAAATAGAGCTTGTCGCACAGGGGTTGGATCGGCTGGAGACTCATAGTCGCAGGAAGGTTCTCCTCTTCCACGGTGTTAAAGAGGAACAAGGTGAAGACGTCCTGAAGAAAACACTCGCCGTATTAACCGGCCATTTGAAGATGTCTGATGCTACATCTGAAGTAATTGACTCCTGTCATCGCTTGGGTGTAAAGAGGGATGCATCTCGGCCTATATTGGTTCGATTCGCCTCCGTACGCTTTCGTTCCAGAGTATGGAATGCCAAGTCGGCACTCAGGGGTTCTAAAATAACCCTCTCAGAATTCCTGACAAAGGCCCGTCAAAGTGTCTTCATAGAAGCTCGCAAACACTTTGGGATGAAGAAGTGCTGGTCGGCTGAAGGCGAAATTGTCATTCTTCTTCCTGACAACTCTCGTAAGAAGATTTCTGCATTGTCCGAGCTCAAGCAATTAGTCGCTCAGTATCCAAAGAGCAACAAGTGAACACCGGTACTTTGTAGGTTACATATCAATTTGGTCGGTTTATATCACGATGATATTGACACTTGCAATGCAGGGTATAGTTAATTTTCTTTTTACTTGTTTAACTCCTATTTTTTAACTATTTTACTTTGTAAATGAATTTTATAATTTTATTTTTCTACCCCTGTCATAATGGTTAAAGTGATAAGTGACAACTGACAAGTGACAACTAATGTTCACTGTCAGACCACACTGTTTTTAACTCTGGGTTCGAGTCTTTTGAGCCGTGGAAATACTTTTGACTTTTTATTTTTTGTTTCTTTAATAGTTTCTATTTGTATATCTTTATTTTAATTTACTTTTAATTTTTAATTGTTAACAATACTTTTTATTGTTGGTTTTCTATTGTGTTCATTTTTAAAGTGTAAATCTCATTTTACAGTCAACTTATGCCTGAGGTGTGTGTTTCAAGTTAGTTGTTATTTTTTATATATTTGTTTAATTTATTTATTTTTAGTATTTAGTATTTATTTTTTATTATAATATATATTTTTATTTTAATGATTTTAGATGAAGAATATTTTTCTTGCTCGTCAGATGAGTTTATGAGTATCTCTAGTAGCAGCAACACCTCGACTTCAGACTCAGAACCACTTGAAGTCAAGTTGCCGAAAATATTTAATAATTCGAATCTCCTTTCCTTGGTGCATATTAACGCGCAGAGCTTAATTGCTCACTACTCCGATCTTCTCACATCCTTTAGCACCGGCGTGGTTGACGGAATTCTGGTGTCTGAAACCTGGTTAAAACCGTCAATTTCATCCACCAGTTGTGCTCTGCCAGGCTACCAGCTCTTCCGTAACGACCGCACTGATCAGGGTGGGGGTGGCGTTGGTATTTACCTTCGCAGTGACATTCCTGCCCGAGTAGTTTCTCTTTCCTCCTCACAAATAAATGGATTTCTAGAATATCTTTTCCTGGAGATAGTTACACACCAAAAGAAGATCCTGCTGGGTGTATTATATAGTCCAAATGATAAAATAAATTATTTTGACACATTAGAAGGTGTTCTGGAAAATCTTGTCCCTATGTACGACCATATTATATGCATGGGTGACTTAAACACCTGTTTATTAAAGAACGACACTAGGGCACATAAATTAAATATGATTACTTCATCACTTAATTTAAACATTCTCCCTATGTCCTCTGCGACACACTATTTTCCGAACAGTAGACCAACCCTAATTGATGTAATTGCTGTCTCTAACCCTAATTTTGTTTCCTCCCACGGTCAAATGACTGCTCCATTCTCATACCATGACTTAATTTTCCTCACTTACAATGTGCGTCCTAAAAAGGTTAGAGGCAAAATTTGTCTTCTACGCGATTTTAAGCATATGGACCTGGATCGTTTGAGAGAGGACGTGAAAAGTATTGACTGGTCGTCACTATACTCAGTTAATGATATTAATGCCATGGTTGAACTACTAACTACTGAGCTGATTCAATTATTTGATAGACATGCACCCGCTCGACCAGTCCGGATGAAACACGCACCTGCTCCCTGGTTAACGCCAGTGATCAGAAGAACTATGGCTAAACGTGACAGAGCAAAGTCTAGAAACAAAAAACTACCATCTCAGGACAACCTTGACGAATACAAAAAACTTCGTAACATCTGCAACAGAATGTGTAGGGACGCTAAACGCCGCTATATTCATAGTAGACTTCAGAATGCTTCCCAAGCGCAAGTTTGGGGATTCTTACGGTCATTAGGTGTGGGCAAAACCACGGATAGCTTTCAAGCTACCGTGGACCTCAATGAACTAAATCAGCATTTTATCATGCCACCTATAACATTAGATCCTGACACTAAATCTGCTACACTCTCTTATTTATCTAATCTTGTCCCACCAGGCCTGCCCCCTTTCACTTTTGAACCAGTCTCGGAGGATACTGTTAGGAGGAATGTCCAATCTATCTCCACAAAAGCCATCGGTAGCGATAATCTCAGCCTGGACATGATACTTCCTGTGCTGGAGGATGTTGCACCTGTGATCACTCACATTATTAATTTTTCACTTTCGTGCAATATCTTCCCAACACTTTGGAAGAACGCCTACGTCATTCCGCTACCGAAGTCCCCTAATCCTTCCTCTCTTTCTCACTTTCGTCCCATATCGATACTGCCTATCCTTTCAAAAGTCCTTGAGTCTGTGGCTCATAAACAACTCTACTCCTACCTTACCACCAACAACCTCCTGTGTCCTTTCCAATCCGGTTTCCGTCCCTCTCACAGCACTGTTGGAGCACTGCTGAATATAACTGAGGACATTCGGTATGCTATGGATACCACCAAAGTTACTGTAATTGTTCTGTTAGACTTCAGCAGTGCTTTTAACTCTGTAGATTTCGACATTCTTCTTGGTACCCTTCGAGCGGTTAATATCTCTTCCTCTGCCATTGATTGGTTTCACTCTTATCTTTTCGGGCGCCGGCAGTGCGTGAAAACTGTAGATTCATCATCTGATTGGTCTAACTTATCTGCCGGTGTTCCTCAAGGCGGTGTACTCTCTCCACTTCTCTTTTCTGTTTTCATTAACAATATTTCCCGTGTCATTTCTTCTCCCTTTCATCTGTATGCAGATGACTTACAGTTGTATCGTCATTGTCAGTTGAGTGAGTTGTCTGAGACTGTTGACAGATTAAACGAAGACCTTTCGGCTGTTCAGCTATGGGCCAAGTCTTTTGGTCTACTGGTGAACCCTGCCAAATCTCAAGCAATGATTATAGGTAGCAGCAGGCTAAGAAGTAAAATTGACTGGCCTTCTGTGCCCTATATAAAGTATGCTGGGGTTCCAATAGCCTATCGTGATAGTGTAAAAAACTTGGGCTTGATCATTGACTGCAACATGTCTTGGACTTCTCATCTCAACGATGTTAGTAAGCGTATGCATTTCACGTTTCACTCTCTCAAACGTCTCCAATACTTTCTCCCTTTCAACACCAAAATTATGCTCGCTCAATCTCTTCTTCTCCCTATTCTCGACTACGCTGATGTTTGCTTTCTGGATGTGACAGAAGAGCAGCTTAATAAGTTAGAGCGCTTACAAAATCTAGCTATTCGTTTTATTTTCGGGCTACGTAAGTTCGACCATGTTTCCCTCTTCCGCGCTCAACTTAAATGGCTGCCTATTCGATTTCGCCGTGATATGCACATCCTGTCGGTCCTATTCAATATTCTTACAAACCCTAATACTCCTGAATACCTCAGCTCCCGCCTTAACCTGCTTCCTCCTTCGACCCGCTCCAGACGTTCTTGCGTCACTACGATGCTTGACGTGCCTCGGAGTAACAGTAAATTTCGACTTCGGTCGTTCGCAGTACGAGCTCCGCTACTATGGAACAAGCTTCCTAAATCCATACAGGACAGTGCTACTATTGGTATGTTTAAAAAACGCTTAAGACAGCATTTCCTGGCCCAAATTTATCCGTATTCATAAACTGTATATGTATGTATTCATATATGTATTTATGTATTACATTGTTTTGTACGTATATATGTATATGTTGATATGTATTTATTTATGTATATAATATGTGTATGTATATTTATTTATATAACTATTATTTTATAATGTATACAACTATATAACAAAAAGTCTGCACTGAATCGCCCGCTGTATGACTCATATCACTCACCTCCATAGGTTGACTGGAAGAGATCTCTTTTAGAGATAAGTCCGCCTTTTGTGTATGTTTTTTTTCTATTATGTTTTTTTCTGTTTTGTTTTTTTTTTGTGCAATAAAGGATATATATATATATATATATATATATATATCATCGATGGGTATTGTAGTAAGAGTTTGAATTAAAACACTTCAAGCGAATATCTTTTAAGTAAGATGATTGCATATGATAAACCAAGTGGAATCGCTGCCAAAGGATGCTTTCATAGGAAGCAATCACAACACAATCACCCTATCCTCGCGTGACACCGAAAACGTCCTCATTCATAAGTATAAATTAATCCATTTAGAACGACCCGCCCGCCACCGACCGAACGGCGATTAACGGAAGCGTCTACTTAACTAATTTATTCTCGGGTGGTTTTAACAGAATGGGTAGCCGTGATTACTGCATGGCGATCGTGTGAAGATACAAGTATTATATGATAAACGCTATATATAAGGTACAACGAAATATAGTCAGCCTTTATTATGGACGTACATGTTGGTAATCCCGCGAGCCCGCGACATTTTAATAACATTGATCAAATAGAACAAAAGTATGTGGACGGAGCACTCGACAGAGATGAAAGTTAAAAGGGTCTAGGGGTGGAGGGGTGCGGCGAGGGGGGAGAGGGTTGAATGTCTTATTCCCTCCACATTTCAGAGGTATTTCGTGTTTTTCATACGCAAATATATTCTCGTTACTGAAGCACATGTGAGCCCCGATTGCATGTACGCAAGATGAAAACCCTTGCTACCTGATGCCTGACGCGCTCTATTGAATTATAGCATTTTTTTTTGGGACTTGCTATATTATTGCAATTACATTTGAACATTTTATCAACGAAAAAGATATATTTTATTGTTCCAACGTTGTTTATTTGGTAACGCAATAATTCACTATTAAACAATGTCTAATAATAATTTAATATGGTAAGATCTTTTTATATTTATAATTAAGATATTTTTATATTTATAATTTTGTAACGCCTTTTTTTGGGTAATCAATTACTTATTCCTAGAGTCCAACAATAATTATTATTATGCCAAATTATTTAACATAGAATTGATTAAAGTTTTATATAATACAAATAGTTCAATGGTAACATCTATAAAATCCTATCAATCACATTTCACTTTACATTAAAAAACTTATACTTTATAATGTTAGGTAAATAGTGTACTTTTTCAATATAACAATAATTTAAACGTTAAAAGCTCAGTTAATTATATTATTATTTATTTCATATTTTAAGTGCAACTTGAAATTATTCAATATTTTATATATAATCTTTCATTACAAAAAATATACATATATATATTTGTTAGAAACCTCAAATTGTCTAATACATTAAAATTGTATATTATATATGGCAACATTAAGCCACAAGTCGAAAAAGACTTCTAATACCAATTCAAAATAATTGTTTAATTAGGAGTAAGATGAAAAATAGCACTAATGGCATGAGTAGTTACAAAATTATGTAATTCAGTCTAAGAAGTTTTAAATAGAGTTAAATGATTATTAATTAAAATTTATAACTTAACATTTATGAATTATAATTGAAATAATCAAAGCAATGTCTTTAAGAAAATTTCATAACTCACTTTTAATAAATACATGTGTGACGACTGATGCATAATAATCTTGACACACATAAGACTATACTTTTTTAAATAATTAATAAATTTTGGGTCAAGGTCTTCAATAAATTAATAAACACTCTTAGAATTAGTTGCAAATTGATATCACTATATTATGTGAATGAATAGCTTATAGAAGAAATAATTTAAAGTAAGTTAAGTGTACGAGTTCACTGTGAAAATAAATTTAACAAGAAATCAATTGATCAATTACATTGGCAATATTTAAATGTTTTGTTCTATAATTGAGTGCAATAGACAACTTATGTATTTTAACATGTAAATCGAAATCCCTCTTATCCTTTTTGTAACTTAAATATTTACATATATATTAAGTATATAATTCAAATGTAAAACATTTGTTTTAATTTAGAGCGCCCAATTTTATTTTAATAATTTAAAAGATACTTTTTTTATATAATTGACTTACCTCAAGTTGGTCAAATTCTTGCAAATGTCTATCATTTCTTTGCTTTTCATACAATGCTCGAGCAAGTGCACTTCTTGGCCGATACAATCCATTCAATCCAGAATTACTGGCCATATCTTCATCATTTGGTAATTCACTTGATATAAGCTTTGATCTTTTAGTATTTAAATGAATTATTCCATGCCTTGCGCATATGTTATGGTTTTCCTTATAGTAAAAAGAGGTTATATGAGACTTTGGACAGGTATACAAAGGATTTAGTGAAACCACTTCGCATACAAGGGCGTAATACAGGCTTATAAGGAAATATATTGACATTGACCACTACTGTTTCAAAAACAAACAGCTTATTTTTAAATTTGAACTATAACCTCAATATTTCTCTTTTATGTTATCATGTGGACATACTTTTAGTAACTTTTGTATACAAAATTATATAAATCTAAACGCTTAGAATAATATCAATCTTTAAATTCATCGTTTTATTTGGCTATTATAAATTTCACATATTATGAATGTCTATTGGAGCGTCAAAAACAAGAATGTCTCATGTCAGATATGTAACGTTCCTTTACACGAACATTATCGAAAATTTACATTGAACTTATTACAGTTATATTAAAATATTGACTTTTCATAAATGTTTTTTTTTATCATATATAACGATTTTCATAGAAAAAATATAAATTTAAAAATTTAATAATCATATATTCTTTTTATGAAAAATATTTGTAATTCATTACTCATAAAACGTGATAACAAAATTCAAGTAAATATAATTACTTTTTTTTTGTTTTCAAAATTTTTGTAAATCTGTGAAAGCCTAAACTGTGATTTTTAATTTTAGCTACATATAAAAATTACCTTATGTTCCTTTGATTCGGCTGAAGCTCTCAAAACTATTTCCCTCAAAACGGTATTCATCATTTTCCTTTCAGAAAGTTCACCGTTGTCAATAACCAGTTATTATTTGGTAGACCGTTTTACTGTATTAGTACTTAGCTGATAAATTGCAAAGTAAAAGCACAAACACAAATCAGGTATTTAACCACCGTATACTTCCTACTGTAGCTATTGTTTGGTGAGAGGTAATGTTCTTTATATTTTTAGCAGCAGTTTTTTAATAACAATTTTCAGTTTGGCCTTGGCCGTGACCGACCGTTCACTTTCTCAATACAAACTGACGGGTTTAAAAACTCTAGCTATGAATCAAGAGATTAGTTATAAAAACGAACGTTTTTTGTTTAGCCGCTATAATATAATTCTTTTAGTATGTAATTAAAAATATTTCATTATGTTATCAAATAATTGAGAACAAATTACTTGACATTTTTATAAATTTTCATTTATCGTCTTTTAAAGCATGTATGCATAACTGCAAATGATATGGTTTAATTATATTTTTTTAGAAAAAAATGTTTGAACAGATCATGGCTAACTTTTCCGAATGTATGGTATAAAATAAAAAATAATATAAAAATAACCGTCTTATAAAATAATTATTGATTAATACTTACATCTTCTACTAATTGTGGAACTTTTAACTGGTGGAGCCTTTCCATGTTTATATTCGTAAGGTTACAAAATTAAAAATATATTTGAAGTTTTTTCTTAACACTCGAGAATTATGAAGTGAGTTACAAGTGTACGTATACTTGAGATTTGATAAAGTTGTATCCGTTGATATAACAAACAGAGATAAAATAATGTTAGATAAAAAATTTAAGCATAACGATAAGAAACTGTATGAATTATTCTAGTTGTTCAAATAGATAAATGTCTTTCATGTGTTATGAATAATCGGAATGAGTACTTTTCTAAATCATTTTATTATTATTGACGAATGCATAGTATTAGGAAACTACATAATAATATGATTGTATATAAATATTGTGTCTATAATATAAATCCAAAACTAGTAGGTACTTATCAAAATACACTTGTTAAAGTTTAATTGTTATATTTCATTAGTTATTTAAAATAGATTTATGATTTTGAATTAGGTAAGGGAATTTGTTACAAAGTTGCTAAGAGAAATCTGAAGCTGGATTTAAAATAATTTATTAAGTAATATAACTTTGACATTAATATCTTTTTTTTAAATAAAAAACCAATATTTAGATAGTGTCAGTTCAATAAGGTCGTATTATCGTGGACGGATTGCCCCAGGCGATGGTGTTGCCAGCGCCAGCGCACGCGGGACATTTAAAATAATTACAAGCCATCGGAGAAACGTAACAGCCAGTGTTTTGAGACCATTACTTACTTTTTAATTCAAAAAATATTTTTAAAGCGCACATTTAGTCGCTTAATGGCGTTATGAGGAGTAAAACAGAAAATATGATTTATATATTTTCGATTTTGTATCCTTGAGTTTATTCAAATTACAATATGGACGATCGATTGATATTTTAAGCGAAGGATTAAGACCAAAAGTTTTGCTGTAACTGGTGAAATTTGCAGTTCAATGAGGTGTCTCAAAGCAAAAGCGAGTGGTCAGTTTAATTTAAATCCGTGCTCGTAGTTTTTGCACCCCCAACCGCATTCTCACAGCGGCGAGACTTGATGCACTTCAGTTCTGATTGGATCATTACCGAGTTCATCATACCCCAAGCGATCCGCGGGCGACGACAGAGAGAGCCATACCCATCACCAGTAAGATAGAGCTGCACACAGCATGGCCACATTGCAAAGGAATTATTTCATATCATGATTATTGGAACTTTATTGCACTCCGTAACTAACAATTGACATTAGGAAATGCAATTTCATATTGATTTCGTAATCTCGCCAGTCGTTTATTTTTATCAATGCAGCAAATCTTTCTATGATTTGCGGCTAACCATCGACGGTCATGTTTGTTGTTTTGTTGTGGTGTACGTTCGGAGAAAAATGTCATTAAAAGCTCGATAGGGGATTAAACTTGTTAAATTTTCACGTAGCTCAGCAGGAAATCGGTTTAACCGTCACAAAGGGTGGGAAGAAACCGAGAAATTATCTTTTCGTCGTAATATCAACCGCTAAACAGCCAATTACACGTTACAGATTGGGATATTGAGTGATCAAAAAATAATAATTTTTCACACCGGCCGGAAGGTGTCGCGGAGATCACGTACGACGGCTGCAATGTTCTGGATCCTCTTTGATTTCGGTAGGAATACAGTCATCACGTTTCTAATAAAAATCCCTCAGACATCTGTTGTACTTTGTAACCGCATTTGTTTCCGTTAATGGTATTTTCTTTGGTTAATTTAAATTGGCCAAGGCCCTGCAACCATAACTTTTGCTTGTTATCTTCAAAATATATTTCCGTGCGTGTCATTTGTGGCCAATATTATCTGTTGTAGCACTTTACAGTTGTATTATACGTAATTATTGCGTGAAGCGTATTAAAATATCGCTTTTGAAAATATACAATCATAAAGTCGTAAAGGTATAAATGGCGGTTTTTGTACAGGTACTTACTAGAGCAATGTAGGCCATTAGTGATTACTATTGAGATGGATCTGAATTAAATATAATTCGGATAATCGTAGGCCGGGCTGGAACAAAACAAAGCATGAGCGAGGCCGGTACGGGACTAAGGATTTCAATTTTGAACGTGATGAGGCGAGTTTTCATTTAGTATAGCATTGTCGATGAACTTTATTTTGTATTTATGAAGACAATTTTATAGATGACTTCTTTTATAATGGTGTCATGGTTGGAACTCGGATGCAATTTAATTTGAGGTTTTTTAATTAATTTCGACTATACCAAATCTTTTAACAAACTATATATCAATAAAGAAACGTATAAACTAACGAGTTTTTATATATGTAGCTCATTATTTCACTTAAGCCCGGTGATTGCCGACAGCCTTCGTTATGGAAAATATTTATTATTTTTGAAAGCCCCGATTTTTCAATCTCTTAAGAAAAGATACATTTACTAAAGAGTGAATTACGGAGTATTATAAATTATTGAAAGTCGGATATTCAATTTGTTAAATTTAAACTTAAAAATAATTACTCATATTAAACTGTCATTGAAGTGCTTTAAATTTAATGTCAAGTAATAGTATCCTTGAGACGTTTAAAATTTTTGAGTAAATACCTCATTGAGATTCCAATCATAAAGTGTTGATAATATAATTATTTTGTCAATTTTAAATTATTATAATGATTTATATTATACGATCCTTAAACGCTCGTAACGTAAGCACTTTCGGTGCATAAATCGAGATTAACACGAATTTTAATCTCGGCACATAATTCCCGACGTCATTTAGATTACCAAAACAAATTGCCGTGCCATTCCCCACGCATCACCTCCATGACCGGCCAAATAATTAAAGCCACTAATAATTACCGAGGAGTGCTTAAAATGCAAATGTTGTCGCCCGCAGAGTCTTCAAGTTGTAATGTATGCGAATTGGGTACAGATAAGGGCATGAGATTTACACTTCGCCGTGTCATGTCTTATACCGTTCGTTGACCGATCCCGTGGATTACTTTTTAATGTGTCTAAACTTGTTTATAGTGTTGATAACGTATAATTTACAATCACTCAAAATATTACTAATTATATCATTATAAATTATGTATTATTCACGCTTGCCAATTTTTTTTTAAGTTTGAGGAAGCAAATGTTCAAATATATATTTTTTTTCTGTCTGATAACTATTGTATTTACTTTAAATCAACGCATTATTAATATTGACAGTATTTTAATATTTTTACTATACTTAAGAATTTTATATCCTTGTCGGGGGTGATTTTTGAGAATATGCAACTGTACTGATACCTAAGTATGTAGTAATGTATAAAAGGTAAAATATTTTGTCGTTGTGTACGCTAGCGTGTTGTTAACGCGGTAAACGAATAATGTTCAAATCGAATTAATTTGAAAAATAAAGAATATAAATTGTCGAGGCAATTTTTCACCAACTTTATGATTGAAAACGCAACTGCAATTCGCTTGGCACGTTACTGTGACTTAATAATGGGAAATTCGTCATTTGGACGCTATTATTTCTACAGCGATCAGTGTTCCATTTTGACAGTTAAATGCCATTTTTGAAAGTGCCATATCCGTTTATTTTGTTTATAAAATATTTTCAGTTTGTTTCGTTCAAAAATGTCGACGCTTCATATCACAGCCAGTTAAAATATGAATATAGCAAATGTAAAATGGCTATCACTTATACATATTTTCAACCACAATATGCACATATTATATTTTAGCGGGACCATAATAATATCCATAATTCAAAAAGTATAAAAACACAATCGAGGCGAGTCCTCTTGTATTTTTCTCAGCATCGTTTTCCGCAATCG